AGCTTTATTACTGCTTGACCACTGCCAAGAGATGCTAATGAATGGGCAACTATGCTGAAGATCACCTTGACCATTTTGATAGTCAGCTTGCAACCATCTGAAGGGTGAGGGGATGAGGATCCCTTGATTTCTCTATCTGAGGGTGGGATGTGTAAGGGAAATGGACCAGGTCGAAGTATGGAGCTTGGAGTTCCCAAGGTATGTCTGCCCCAGAGTCCTGCTTTGAGAGTGATGTTGTGAATCCAACAATGCCTGCTTGTGTGTGCCTATTTCTGAACAAGGTTGAAATACAGGTGATAATAAAAGTAGCACAAATATCCAGTATTAGCACCCCAAGAGGAAAGTAATGTTGACTCAGGCGAAAGGGACATGAAGCCATTTATACTGAATTTCACTTGTAGTGATGAAATCTCTGCAGTCCAATTTCTGTGCTGGAAGGGAGCCTTGTCAGTTTAGCTGGTATTAAAATCTTTTACAGGAGGTGGCTGAGAACTACCAAGTAGCCTCAGAGAATCCAAAGGCAATAAGGCTGCTGTGTATTATTTGCCAAACCCTGATTACATTCAGACCCAATACAATTTATTCAATATTGTCTCCCCAACCTGAGCCCAAAAAAGTGATGAAAGGAAGGGTAGGTTGGGAATCAGGCATCAGGTATTGTGTACCTATCTATAATGCTTTGGATGCACAGATATTCTCTGGGGAAATTAGCAGTTAATTAAAAACCATTAAAGAATATAATGCAACATGAAAAACAGCAGGAACATCAAAAATCTAAATATATATTTAAAAGAACAGCCATAACAGCTGATTGCCAGTGTAGTGTAGTGGTTAAGAGCATGGGACTGGGACTCAGACGATCTGGGTTCTAGTCCCCGTTTAGCCATGGAGCCAACTGGGTGACTTTGGGCCAGTCACAGACTCTCAGCCCAACCTACCTCACAGGGTTGTTGTTGTGGGGATAGGATGGAGGGGGAGAGATGATGTAAGCTGCCTTGAGCCCTTTGTAGGAAAAAGGCAGGTTATAAACTGAAAAATAAATAAATAAATAAATAAATAAATATTATGATCCAAAAGAAGAGACCAATCAAAGAAGGAGCACTGGAGAAAGCACAGAAGGTCAGAAGATGCACCCTTGTCAGTAGTCTGAGAAATGAAAAATCATGTGGTTTTACTAAAGCTAAGGAGCTGCAGACCCAGTCAGCAAGCTGGTCAGCATGGGACACCACTGGGAGATCTCTGTAAAGGCAGAATAGTATAGCCACCGTGCTTGGTAATCTCCATGTTAAACTACTAAAGGATGCTATATGTGGGGCTCCTGTTGAAGAGTATTTGGAAATCACAATTGTTGCAAAATACAGCTACAAGAGTGCATACAGGACATTCTGTGTGCAAGAAGGACATCTGTAATGGCTCTCATTCCATTTCCAGGTCCAGTTCAAAGTGTTCACCCATACCCTTAAAAACCATTCATGGCGTGGAAGCAGGCTGATATCCTCACTTAATCTTCAGAGGCACTCCTTCAAGTTTCCCCACCATCACAGGTATGGGTGGGAAATGAGACTGCCTTGGTTGTGACATGCCATCTGCGGGATAGTCTACCCAAGGAATCCCACCTTCAGGATAGGCTGATATGATCTGAGCTAGCAATGACTGATCAAGAAAGGGATCTTGCGGGGGTGGGATGGACAACTCGATGAAAATATTGACCCAGGGTGCAGCAGCTGTTTAAAAGGCAAACTCCATATTAATCATAATTGGGAAAGGAACGGAAAATAAAATTGCCAAGATCATACTCCGTGTAAACAATCTTTTGGTGTGACCATGCTTAGAATATTGTGTACAGTTCTGGTCACCACACCTTTAAAAGGGCATAACTAAGCTGAAAGACGTGCAGAGAAGAGCAACTAACATGATCAAAGAGTTAAAGCAATTTCCCTTTATGGAATCATTACTCCAACTGGGTTTGTTTAGCTTAGAAAAAAGGCACGTAAAGGAAGACATTGAAGAAGTGTTTAAAATTTCTCCATGGTATGGAGAAAGTGAAGAGGGACGCATTTTTCTTCTTTTCCCATAACAGTAGAATCTGGGATTATCCCATGAAGCTGATTGGTAGCAGATTTAGGACAAATAAACAAAAATACTTCTTTATGAGCGCTAGTGTGGTGTAGTAGTTAAGAGTGCAGGACTGGGACTCAAGTGATCTGGGTTCCAGTCCCCACTTAGCCATGGAGCCAACTGGGTGACTAGGCCAATCATACTCGCAGCCCAACCGCACAGGGTTCTTGTTGTGGGGATAAGATTGAGAGCAGGAGAAGAGTTTAAGTTCTTTTAAAAAAAGAAAAAGGCAGGAAGTAAATTATGCAGCAGATAGTTAAACAATGGAATTCACTGCTACAGAAGGTGCAATGACCACCAATTTGGATGGCTTTAAAACGGGATTAGACAGATTCATGGAGAAGCAGGCTATCAACGGCTACTAGCCTTGTTGGCAATGTGCTGCCTCTGTTCTCAGAGGTGGTGTCCTGTGTACACCAGTTGGTGAGGAGCCCGGGCAGGCAGATGTCTTGTACCCATACTGCTTGCGGCATCCCGTAGGGAACTGCTTTGCCACCATGTGAATGTTGTGCTGACTGAATGGACCATTGATCCAGCATGCCTTTCTTGTGCTTTTAAGCTGCTCTATGACTACTACATAGACACATTTTGGGGGGAGGGTCAATAAAAATGTGTGGGCCCTGATTGTCCTCAACTTCGTATCATAAGGTTGGAAATAACTTGAATGTGTGTATATACCACACACTAGTTCCATTTACTTTTTAAAATTAATCACAATGTCATTCTTTTTTCTATCTCACTCTTTGGGATATGTATAAACATTGCTAATAATATCAGGGAGGATAAATCCCAGACCAGAATAAAGTTGGTGCCAAAGAATCTGATTATTAGACATTGAATTAGATGTAAGCACCAGAACAGGACTATTGATAAAACATAAGAATCAACATGTTCAGGAAAATCTTAAGCTTTGCAAAACTCAGATCCCAAGCAAGGGACTTCTTTCCACCATGGCAGCTGAGCATACTTGGTAGCCATAGAATGCTGAAGGTCTTCTGCTAAGGGTTGCTGTGTGTGGAAGGGGGTATATAGAAGACCCAGCATGAAGAGATTGTCAGGCTGGAACAATGAGCTCACAGGAGCTAAGGGTACACCAAAACATTTTCTTGATGTTCACTTATCATGAACAATCTCTCCAGAAGAATTTGGTAGCACCCAACACAAAACACTATGCTTGGCTACAGTTTTGCAATAGCCCTGACAAATTTAGTCATCCTATCTTGAATTTTCAGCCCAAACCTTAAGTAAATTGTACTGAGTTAATCTGAATTTATTACGAAGTAACAGTGCAATCCCCTAATCACAAAGCTGTACTTCCAAGAGGAGGTACTCTCGAGCAAATGCGACTTTAGACTGTGACCCTTACACATTTATTGTGTTAAAGAGTTTTGCGGCATTGTAAAAACAAACAGATTATCTGTGCTGTAAGCTTTTATTTAAAATAACTGGACAGAGGTTTGAGCTAGACAAAAATACGGTATTTTGTATAGTACGGTAATATTCTTTGAAGTTAATTAAGAGTAAAACCATTGAACCCTTTGAGACTTACTTTCAATAAAAAGCACAGGACCAAGCTGCAATCCTATTAATGCTTACATGACTGTAACTCTCATTGATCTCCATGGGACTTTGAAAAGAAATATGCCTAGGATCAGGCTACAATACTAACACCTAACTGTTAGAAGCATTTGTAGCTAGACCGCACCACCTTGCAGCCATTTAGTACACTCATACGCATTCAGAAACACGCAATAGTCAATGAGCTTTACTCCTAGCTAAGTGTGCCTTCCAGTGCTATTCTATGCAACAAGTCTTCTCAGACATAAGCCCCCCTGAGTTGTGGGTGTCGCTCCCAAAGACGCAGGTTTAAAATTGCAGCCTTGTTGTGTGCCTTTTCTTCCCTGATCCAGAAAGAGCAGAAAGCGTATCTGTCTCGTAGATATGTTCCCAAGTGTGATTGTGTGAGTGAAAATCCATTCGCATAGATAAAACCGTGCATTTTAAAATGCAGCTCTTTTGTGCGAAAAGCACAACCCCGTGCAGACGGCGCCAGATACCCTCTTCCAGTTCTAGTATCACTCCAACCCCGCCTAGCCTGCTCCTCCATTAACAATATTTTTAAACATAAAAATCCGGGCTATCTCGCGAGAGCATGCAAACTACGTTCTCTTCTCTCTCCTCCCCCGCGCATCGCCCGTCTTCCAGACTGGCTGGGTAGAATGCACGAGGTCGTGTGTCGATAATGACGCCAGTGAATGGAACGCGGTGAAGGGCGGATGGACTCACTCGAGGTGGGGGCCACGCTCCCTCCCGCAGCCCGCGGGCGCAATGGAGGGGGAGCCGCAGCCCCCCACGGAGCGTTTCCAGCTGCCATCCCGAGCTGCAAAGACATTTTAAGGCGTGCGCGCAAGGTGCGGGGCAACCACATTAGGGACATCTCGTTTAAGAGACATGCAGATCTCCTCCCTAGCATCCATTTAGGCGAGAATTTCTCTCTCGTGCGCGCGCGCCCAGCTGTTCTAGGCTTCAGTCAGGCATCTCGCGTGTACGCCCGTTCACACGTCTCTAGGAACAAAGAGGTGGGCACCGTGTGCGGGGGACGCGGGACATTTTTGTCTGCACAGCCCACCACGACGTTTCGCTCGCTCACCGCCTCCCTCACGCGGCCGGTGTAAACAGAAGGCTTAGAGAAGGCCAGGTAGGGAGAGGTCAGGCGGGCAACGCTGCTTCTGCTCAGCCCAGCAAATGGACCTGCCCAGCTGTCGCTAGAGGGAGGTGTGGGATAAAGAGACGAAGGGAGGCAGTCCCCGAGGGAGCTGCCGAGGCGCCTGCTTCTGCCCGAGCTACAGAGCAGGAAGAAGCAGCCGAAGAAGAAAGAGGCAGGCAAGGCTGTCTGGGGCGCCTCCCCTCGTCCATGCAGCCGTCGGGGAAGGGGGACGCCTCGCGTGCGTGAGAGCGGAGGCCGTCCAAGCAGGGGAGGGCATCCGAGGTTGCCCGAGGAGGGGCAGTGTAGCCGTCCTCGTTCGTCGCCGCAGCCGTCCGAGCGGCCGCTTGTGCCCGTCTTGGCGCTCGCCGTCTTGTGCTGCTTTGGCTTTCCCTTCTGGATGGCACCCTTGCTCTAGACGGGTCGCTCGCTCGTCTCGGGGGAACCGAATTAAGGAGAGAGCAACGGAAAGAAAGCAACACGAAGGAAGTTCCGAGAAGCCCGCCTCTGCCTCCCCTTTCGCTAAACCCGCAAGCAAGACAGCCGGAAAGTCAGAAGAAGCTATCAGGAGGGAGTGTGCCACAGAAGCTCGTCCTTTGGTGGTGGTGGAGGAGGAGGAGGAGGAGGAGGAGCGCCTTTGCCCTCCCATCTCTCGTCCTGTCCGCCCCTCTGCTGTACCCACCTTTCCTCTTCCTCCCTTTCCCTTCCCTTCCTCGGAGGCGCCAGCAGCCGCAAGTCGGGCTAATGATGGCTTCAACCGCAACCTGCACCCGATTCACGGACGAATACCAGCTCTTCGAGGAGCTCGGAAAGTAAGTGCATGAGAGCAAGCGGACGCCTGCTGCCAGTAAAGGGCGGTGGAAGGGCTGGAGGAGGCGGGAGCTGGGAGAAGTGGGGAGCGGGCAGGCTGGGGCGAGAGGTGGCTTTGACAGCTGAGAGACCCCTCCTCAGAAGGCGCCTTGGCACGGGGGAGGCACGTTCGGGCTGCTGCCTGCCCGAGGTCAGGCCTTAGCGAAGGCTCGGTGCACAGGCAACCGACTTGCCACTGAACCGGGGGAAGTGCACGAAGGTTCAACGCTAAGCCTTGATCTGGGGGAGGGGATAAGATAGGCAAAGCTGCCTCTCGTCTTCCATGCGAAATCTGCCTCATGCCTGAGACGATTAAGTGCCACGTTTATCGATGCAGAAAGTTCAGTAGTGTCAGTCGTGTGCGTGCGTGTCGGTGTACATGCGACTTCCCTCTCCCCTCTTCGTTTATTTGGGATTGTGTTGGTGCACTTCTGCTGTCGTATCCATCAGTCTCGTCAGGAACAGGGTATTGCACAGCTCTCTCTACCATTCCCCCCTGTGGGTTGGGTGGAGGGGTCCGGGAGAACCACACATGTCGAAATTTGCCCCTGGGCAGTGCGGGTGGCTTAAATTCTGATGTCCAGTAAACAACAGGAACAAAAATCCGTGGGTGGTAAGACTCTAGAGCTACATATCATGTCTATTGTTAGGGGAACCGAGTGCTTCGAATTAAATTGATTCTCCCCTGCTTTTGGTTTCCATCTTACTTGCATGAATTTAGTACTATGTGATTTTGTAATATAAATGACATGAAACCGCCTGACCTATGGTGGGAGTAGTATTAACATGGTGAAGGTATCATAAAGAGCAGTCTAGTTCAGGAGCTGTTTTTCTGCAAGGGAATTGCAAATGAATGCTCCTGCTCAGAACTGCATCTATTAACATTTATTGTATCCTAGCCCCTCTGGTGAGTCTTGAGTGCTTATGCTTAAATAAACACAAAGTGCCGTATTTACAAGACAAAAGCTTGCTTTTTCTTCACCCAGAAGCTTTTTTGTTTGGTAACATTCCACCAATGAAATATATTCACAGAGTCCAGTGCCTTTGAGACAAAGAATTATGGAAATGGACATGATGTTTGTAAAAACAAAACCATATATGGTTCTGTGTGTCAATACTACCACTTATGATGAGATTATATTAATTTAGCATGTTTAATGATATGGCTTATTTTCACTTCTTAAATATAATATACAGTTTCAGTCCATCAAATCAAGGCAGATTGCCATGTTGTGCTCATTTTTCTGCCTTCTCTTTTGACACTGCTCAAACTGGTTAATACTTTGAATTACTAGACCATGTCGTAAGTAGCTCAGCCCTAGTTGAAATTGATGTTTCTTTGATTTATTGGCTTGCAGGGGGGCTTTCTCAGTGGTGAGAAGATGCATGAAAATCACTACAGGACACGAATATGCTGCCAAAATTATCAACACTAAAAAGCTGTCAGCAAGGGGTGGGTATTCTCAAGCTAATGTGAATTGTATTTTTGCAGATTTAAATGAATTGTTATAAGACATATATTGGCTAGATGGAGTGAAAACGAGTATCTCTGTTTTTCACTATGTGTGTCTGTTTTGGAAGGTAATATTTAGGCTGCAGTTGGATTCACACTGAACTGGGAGTACGGCCCATTGAACCCTATGCGTTTCACATTTGAGTAAATATATATGCATAAGATTGTGCGGTCAAAGTCACATATTCCTATGTAAATGAATGATTTATACTTGTAATCTTGACATTAGCTATGTAATTAAGTTTTGAAGATTTTTTTGTTATTACTGTAATTTTTACTGGAAAAAAGGTCAAATCTTAATTGAATCATACTCTTCTGTTTTATTTATGCATGAACTTAATTCACTGTGTCATATTTAACAGAAAATGTCTAAGAGAAGAATGACCTGGCTTCTCCCACTCCTAACATTTTTGCTTGCAAATAAATTTAACTTCATCAGATGATACGTGAGCTGTGATTAGGTTTTAAATGAAGTACTTTCATCTCCGGAAATACATTGTTTTTCTTACTTCATTACTTCCAGATTTGCTCACTTATTTCATTGTAATTTCTAGGAACTCTCTTTGCCTAGAGCTTCCTCCAAAACGCCATGAGCATAATCTGTTTTTCCAAAAGAAGCTCTACTGAAGTGAATGGAAGTTGTGTAAGAATTGGCTTCCCATTCATTTCAGTGATGAGTATGCAGGAGAAGTTCCCAGTGGATTACATTCTATACATACATCATTGGCTGTTTTGACTAATGAAAATAGTCCTTATGGTGGGATATTTGTTCTAGGTAAATCCACCACTGGTGTATGTGGATGTTGAGGATTATGGATTATTCTCTGTAAACATCTGTACTTCCATGTTCATTTCTGGCCTTTTCATAATAATGGAAATGAAGAGAGCTGATTTTTTCAAAGTGTAAATCTATCATTTATACCTTGACTTTGCTTGATAAATATTGGTAAAAACTCATTTGCTTGCTTGAATTTGGGGTAGGGGGGAAGAGCAAATGTTTTCAGTGTGGTGGTGTTACATCTACTTTGAACTTATAATATAGTTGTGCTTGTCATAAGCTGCCATTCACAACCTGGCTGGCAATCTGTTCTGAAGTGTCTTTTTTCACAGGAGTAGGTCATACTGACTTAAATGGGATCGACAGCCTTCTTGTATGTTTGTATCCTATGAATGTGTCAAGGATTGCAGCCCCATTCTCATTTAAGTTGGGGTGAGATTTTTGGGGGGTTAGTTTGTCATCTATTGGATTTGCCATTTGTAATTCTATAAGTGCACGGTTCTGTTCAACTTTATATATTTAGATTTCCTGATTATGTTTTGCATTAATTCACAGTGCATACCATTATTAACGCAGATGTTTTAAAAAATGCAACAGGCTTTTCTGTACCAACTCTTTCTTTGGCACAAATATGCAGTTACCAGTTAAGTTCAGAATTCAACTTATGTCATATCTTCCAGAATTTTAGCATATTGAGGAAACAGTAAGGACTGCCTACACATATGGAATAGGCAACTGTTGCCATCTTGGTTGTAGAAGATAAGAACTGCTTATCTTAGTTAATGTGAAAAATCCTATTCAGGCATTCTATATTTGTCTTTAATTAAAGTGAGAGGAGAGAGGGTGCTTTAGCTCTGCCCCATTCATGTTAAAGGTGATTATCTGCAGCAGGGAGTCCTTTGTATCTAAGGAGGTTCTGGGATAATTTAGAACCCTAATATCCCAGGTTTCTAAATTGCTGAGAAGCTTCCCTGAATAGAAACTTCCCTGCTGCCAACATTCACCCACAGACATTTGTGGATGACAATGAAATTTGTGTTGGAGGGGGCAGAGCTAGCACACTCATCCTCACTCTTCCTTTTCATATGTTAATTAAAGACAAATATGAGATACCTGACTAGGGCTCAAGTTACACTGCCTGATGAAAAGTTGTAATATAACAGCATGTGTATTCTGCCTCAGAAGCTGACTGAATGAAATCTGCCCACCTTTATTTATTGTGCAAATTGTAAACTGATTAAGTTTGATTTAAAATTGTAGATCATAATTTTTAATTCATTATTGTATTTTGTTTAATGCTTGAGCTAGTTTTTGTGTTGCAGTGTTAGAAAACAGGTCCTTTTTGTAGCCTATATCTTTAAACTATGAGTCTGTAAACTATATTGGGGGATATCTGCTCAAGTTCCAAGGAATTCTGTTTTGTGGATCTGTTGTATATATTCATATCACTTGCTTTATGGATGGAAGTTAAAGCCTATGTAATGTCATAGTAGGCCTAGAATTTGTCTTTTGTTCTCGTGATACAAATCTAGATACATTGCTAAGATGTCTTGATATGTATGGATTCCCCCCTTTAGGATATTATTTTTAAATGATTTTATGCAGTTGGAGAAGGAACTAAGACTGTCATATGGCAGACATATGGCACATTTTAATTATGCCTCTCATTAATATTTTTTGTTCGAGGATTGGATCATGCAGATTGAAAATGTTTTGTTTTCAAGGGACACACAATTTCTAAAATGACCTATGTATCTCACTAACAACAGGAAGAGATCAAAAGGAGGAAGGGAAGGAGGGAAAGAATATGAGGGGAAGGGGGAAAAATAGAGAAGAGGAATAATGTTTAATGCCAGTTAGTACTTTGTCAAGTGTAGAAGGTAAATGTCAGATTCTATTTAGTGTAGAGTAGCAGACATTGAGGCACAATATAGCACACACAGAGTGTTCCTCAATCTGGTGCCCTCCAGAGGTTTTAGACTTCAACTCCCATCAGCCCCAGTCAGCATGCTCAATGGTCAGGGATACTTTGTGGGCCAAAACTTCCAAAGAGGACCAGGTTAGAGAAGGCTGTGTTGCAAAATTCTTTTGGTGTACTTTAGTAGTATGCTGAAGCTCTCTCTCTCTCTCTCTCTCGCTCTCTCTCTCTCTCTCTCTCTCTCTATCTATCTATCTATCTCATTTTTATACTGTCTAAGAGTCTTGTCTGGCTTGAGTCTCAGTTTATTGGCCTCATCCAATCCATTACCAGGCTCAGAAACTGATTCAGAGTTGCCATTGCCTCACCTGGGTTTGTTGAAAAAGAGAGGTAGAGCTGAGTTTCATCCACATATTGGTGGTACCTCAGCCCATACCTCTAGATTACCTCCCCCAGCAACGTCACGTAGATGTTAAATAGCCTAGGGAATAAAATAGAACCCCGAGGTACCCCATGGCAGAACTGCAGTGGTACAAAGCAATAATCCCCAGCACCACCTTCTGGAATCTGATGGTCAAGTTGGAGCAGAATCACTGCTGTAGTGTCTCCTACTCCCAGCCTATCCAACCTATCCAGAAGAATGCTATAGTATTGAAAGCTGCTGCGAGGTCCAGGAGCATCAACTGTACTCTCCCTGTCCTCCTCCTGGCAAAGGTCATCCCACAGGACAACCAAGGAGCTTCTGTTATAAAACCAAGCATGAAGCCTGATTGAAATGGATCTAGATAATCCGTTTCATTCAAGAGTGCCTAGAACTGTTCAGCTACCACCTTGCCCAGGAAGGGATGTTGGCCAGTGGCCTATACTTAAGATCCTTTGGGTTAATGTCAGCCCCCCCTTTTTTTGGAGTGGCTTAATTACAGGAGCAGCTTATTATATCAAATTCTAGCATGTCCCTTCCAGAACAGATGAGACCAAACAATATGTGTTCTTTTTAAATACTCAACAGAAAATATTAATGTTGAAGGTAAGGTGCTTTGGATCAAGATAGTATCTGGATGGGGTCTTGATTCCATATCCACCACTCTGAACTCCTTGAAGAAAAAACATTGGAAAAAATATATAAGTGATTACAAATGATAAACCTAATACCTGATTATGTCCTTTTCTGGTTACAAAGTTCTTGAACTAATGTTTAGGTCACATGCTATATGAATATCACATGATTAGTCAGTATATGATGACTCACATATAAATGTAACAATGGACTCCCTTTCAAAAACATTTTATTTTTACAAGATAGGAAGACACAGGAAAGTCCTTTCTGTGACAATTTATTTAAGAGAGCATATTCTTATAAATCATCTTAATGATCTGTGTTGGTGAACCCTTCAATGTTGTGTATTTTTGTGATCTCAGGAACATTTAGTCTGGAAGCACTGGTGTTACTTCTGTGCATCTATTGTGACATCATTTTCCTGATTGACTGCTTAATTGACAGATTGGTCATTTGTGGGCTTTCTCTTTGAGCACAGCTAAAGGCAAATAATAGCTTGTTTGCCAGGAGTGTTATCGGTGATCCTAAAAATGCTTTCTCTTTCATATGCAAGGCACTTTAAAGAGGAAAAGGGAATAGAACCTGTAATTTATTTCTTGGCATCCTGAGGGCATGCTTTCTGTGACTATGGCTAGAGACTGCTTTAGAAATCAAATAGGTATACCAGCATTTGGGATCTGTGTGTACCACTGCATTCCTTATTACAATTTTCAGATACTGCTTTAAAGATCTTAGTAGCACATGGATGTATATTGTTTTGTATGTTCTGAAGCACATATGTTTATCCTGGTAATAGAACATGTTGTTCAGGTTTGTCTGGTATGTTGATTGGTTGTTCTTCCATGCTTCATTTGCTTTGTACCATATTTTGCTACATAATATGATATGTTTATGTTCCAAGAAAGAAAAAAACAGCTGATGCTGTTTCATTTATAATTCAGTGGCAACATGTAGCAGAGTTGCTTTGGTAAAAACAGTCTCCTAAATAGAATAAGAAGGCATATAGATAAGAATTCACAGCAGAATATTTTAAAGGCCTTATGCATGACTTAAAACAATGTTTTATAAGGCATTAGTCATGTTTACCATTGTTGTGAGGAGAAGGCAAATAGAAGAAGAAACTCTTATACTCAAAAATCTCCCTTGTCCAGTTCAAACTTTCTTCCTACCCCCTTCTTCTTGCTTAA